TAAGAAGTTGTGACATCTCTGCTGTTCCTCAGAATGGCAGTGGAATTGGGTGCTGTCTCCAAAACAGAGCTAGAGGGCCTCCCCAATCTGGCAATGGCAATAAATAAAGTCTGCCCTGAAAAAATTAAATGAGATAACATGACACTTTCCTGGCACATACACTGTCAAGTGTGTAGCGGGCCACATGACAGCCCCAATCCGTTCTAGCCCTAACATTCTTTGCTTCTGTGAGGCTTCAGCCCATGAAGGCTGACTTAGGCACAGAGAGGATTTGGCTCTGGAGCCTCAGATACACTGCAGAGATGACAGCAGTCACGAGTCATGGACACACAGCTGCTCCAAAGTCTGTTCCACCCTGGGAAGCTCTACCTTGCCCAGGTTATAGTGACATGACAATTTAGAGAATGATTCCCTACTCCTACTATCTACCTCCTCACACCCCTAAAGTGTGGGTGCAGCTGCTCCTACGGCAGTTACTTTGTGTTCTTATTCACTTTTATTTTATGTGTCTTGAAACAGTTTACCTTAAAATTTTCACTTTCCTAAGTATATACCCCCGAAATATGAAAACATTTACCCGTAAAGATATATGTACTCCAATGTTCACTGCAGCTTTATTTGCAGTAGACAAAACATGGAAACCACCCAAGTGTCCTTCAATAGATGATTAAATAAAGGAGATGTGGTATATATACACAATGGAATACTATTCTGCCATAAGAAAAGATGAAATAGGGCCAGCCGAGTGGCTCAGTTGGTTTAGAGTGCGAGCTCTGAGCAACAGGGTCACCTGTTCGATTCCCACATGGGTCAGTGAGCTGCGCCCAAGCTGAGCTGCCGCTGAACTGGTGAGAGCGTGTGCTCTTATCAAGAAGGTTGCCGGTTCAACTCCTGCATGGGATGGTGGGCTGTGCTCCCCCCCCCCCCCTTGAACATGGCACCTTGAGCTGAGCTGCCGCTGAACTGGTGAGAGCGTGTGCTCTTAGCAGCAAGGTTGCCGGTTCAACTCCTGCATGGGATGGTGGGCTGTGCTCCCCCCCCCCGCAACCCACAACTAGATTGAAAGCAGCAACTAGACTTGGAGTTGAGCTGTGCCCTTCACAACTAAGATTGAAGGACAACAACTTGGAGCTGATGGATCCTGGAAAAACAATCTTTGCCTTCCCCAATTCCCCAACACTATTCCCTTCCCTAATTCCCCAATAAAATCTTTTTTTAAAAAAAGAAAAGATGAAATAGTGCCAATTGCAACATAATGTATAGCTCCTTGGATTATTAGGCTAAGTGAAATAAGTCATGCAGAAAAAGTCGAGAACCATATGATTTCATTGATACGTGGCATATAAAACTGAAAGCAACAAAGGAAAAAAACAAACAAATAACAAAACAAAAATTCATAGACACAGACAATAGTTTAGTGATTACCAGAGGGTAACTGGGGAGGGGGGTGATAGATGAGGGTAAAGGGGGTCAAATATATGGTGATGGAAGGAGAACTGACTCTGGGTGGTGAACACACAATGTGATATATAGATGATGTATTACAGAATT